AAAAAAAAAAAAAAAAAAAAAAAAAACGATTGCAACTTTCTCGCTGTGACCTATCGTCCATCATCATCATCGTCATCTCTCACCATCTCATCACCTTCATCTTCATCGTCCCTCCTCGCCATCCTCTCGTCGTCATCTCTTCATCTCACCACCATCATCGCCGGCGTGAAGCGAAACAGTCGGCGGCCCCAGTTATTCCGACGTCGCTGAACCTTCTCTTCCGTCGTCGCGCCGTGACCTGCCCAACCTCCGCGCCGCGACGCCACCTCAGCCGCGCGGTGAAGTTTCCCCTCAAGTGCTGTTCGTGAATTTTTCCGGCGAGCTCGATTATCCTTCGAGCAGCAACTCCGGTGACCTTCCCGACGAGCTCGTGAACCAGCAGCAGCGACCACCTTCTCCTCCCGTGCGACGAGCCCTTCTCTTTCGCGAGACGAGTTTACCGCGAGCCCGTTCGAACCCATTCTCGCTCGATTCCCGAGAATGGTACCTCGTCGTTTTTCCGTCTCGTTATATTCGTATGTGATTTATTTCGTTGAGTATTCATTTTTGTAAAGTGCTCATGATATATATGTGTGAATTTATTGTTGTGTATATGTGCGATTATATGTATTGTTGTGATTTTATGTGTTCGTATGTTCGGGATCTCTTCGATTTTCTCAAAATCGAACGAGACCTCGAAAGTCGTGTAAGTCGGTGGATATTGAAACAATTTCGAGTCTTTGGTCTTATGAAAAGTCCTCGGACGAGAAATTCTATGTTGTGAATTAATTGCCAAGTTGTCGAGCTTTTGAATCCCTGTTTTGGTGTTTGAATTTTTAAAAATAGCTCGCTGCTCGAAACGATTTGAAATTTTGAGGGATAACATATGTTATCTGTTCATTGCCTGCCTTGTGTAAAAATTTCGTAATTTTTAGAGGCCTGTAGCTATTTTTAATAATTAAAGTGTAATCTGATCAGAATAGTGTTAAATGCATAAAAACTTCATGCATGAATGAAATTAGCTGAAATTCGAATATGTCATGCCTCTGTGACTTTTATATGTTGTGTTAAATTTGTAGAATTTTTGGACTTGATTTGATGTGGTTAATATTTTATTTATCGAATCTGCAGAAATGTTGTTTGAATTTTTATAAAATGGTTACTTCATGAAAAATTGTGAAATTGTACTGAGATGCCTATTTTATGTGTTTAATCATGTTTGTAAAAGATGAGAATTTTTGGAGTTCATTTTGATTCAGTTTGGATTTAAATTCGATAAACTGCTGTTGCTCGTATGAATTTTTGAAAATAGCAGCAGTCAACATTTAAGGCTGAAATTTTTATACATGGACTTTAGAGTGCTGTATGTTGTTATGAAAAACTTTCAAGTTCTGATTCGTTCATTAAGTTCGAGTATGAATTAATGTTCCCATTTTGTTGATATCTTTTTTCGAATTTTATAAAATAGTGTATTGCGAGTTTGAAGTTGCAAATTTGTGGTTTTACATGTTTCTGGGAGATGTAATTTTGTCTAAATTTTCAGAGTCTAAGTCGTAGGGTAGCTTGATCATCTATTTTCATGAGATTAATGATTTCTATTTTCCAAACATGATTTTTATATGAAAATTTGGAAATCGACTTGCTTTTAGTTTTTATGTGAGTTTGACTTGGTCAATCCTTGGATGGATTTATGTGAACTCCCTTTTGTGGTTTGGTCGAGTTTAGTGCCGAGTCTTAGTGTTCCAACATCGACAGGACTTCACGAACTACTTAGTCGAAACGAGTTCGACTAGGTTTGCCTTGTGATTTCCGATTTAAGTCGAGATTATAGGATCTTGACATCATGTAGGTGTCTAGAGGTGTTGACCTTGCCTTATTTCAAGATTTGTGATTCTGTGAACTGTTGCTGCTATCAGGTGGGTACATTTATGATGTATTTCATATTTATCGCACTCATTATTTTGTGTAATGTTTTCTTTTGAAAATTATTGTATGCATAAGAACTCTAGTCTAAGTGTCCCGAACGATAGTGCCTTTGACGAATGCATAACAGTGAGAGGTCACCTGCCCGTTGTATCCGGGAGGAGACGCCCTGATCCGTGTGTGTTTCGGGGGGGAAAAACATCTCCACTGTCTCCTGGAAAACATCCATGATCCGTGAGTAGTTCGGGGTGGACTCCCATGATCCGTGAGTAGTTCGGGGTGGAGGAAATTTTCCAGTTACGGCTTTGCCGATGTTTGGTCGGAAGGTTGTTGTATGTACATAGGAGGTTTGCGATAGGGCCGGGTAGGGGGTTTCGGCTATGAATTCTATGCATACGGATACTGATATTGTTTACTGTGATACTTCTTTTTAAAATAATTATACGGGATAACTGTGCGATAATGGTGAGCTAGTTGGTTGCTCACCCCCATTATTTTCTCTGTTGTCTTCTCTCTTCCTTTGTTCTAGGTTTAGACGAGCTGGAGGCGGTGGCGTAAGACGAGCGAGATGGTGGTCATTATGTGTTGAAATCTTATGCTTCCGAATGAACTTGCTTTTTATTTACTTTGCTATCATACTTTGGATTATTTACTGCTTTCACTTTTCGAACTATGTTTAAATTTTGGTTGAACCTTGATTCATGCTAGACTATTTGAATGATTTGAGACTTATGATTTTATGGGATTATTTTATATCGTTAGTCCGAGCATGTGTAGGTTCTTTGAATGATTGGTTGTGATGTTTGCTGTTGTTAATAAGTAGCGCCCGATTCTCGTTAAATGTTTTAAATTTGGATTAAAAAAGAATACTCTGATTTTTATTAAATAAATTCGGTAAATTCTTAAAAATAAAACGGGGCGTTACACCTTCACCGATCGAGAGAATTGGCTAATGGCTTAGAACTAGGGCTTGTGCACGGCCTTTGGAGGTTTGGCTCGATTCTTGGTTGGAAAGGCTGAGTTAAATAAAACCAAAAGACTTAGAAAAATCTAAGGAATACTTAGAAGTTGTTAAGCCCTGAGGGAATTCGCTTGGACAAGGCTGTGGTGCGGTGGTGCCTCTCCCCGGGCTCCTAGCGCGCGTGGCAAGGCCTATGGGCTTGGTCTCGGTTTCTCTCTTATCTTATCACTATTTGCGAGTGTTAAACTGACCATGATCTCCCAAATGCTGAGGAAAAGAGTCTTAAATAGGCTGAGGGGTGGAGGTCTCAAGGTTGGGTCAAAAGAGACCAAAATAAGTGGGAAAAGCACGTTTTTGCATGGTCAAATGTGGATTATTCAGAGCACAATGATGGACAAGGTGAATCTGGTCAGGTCTGGCATGAGGGTGGGGGACAAGGGACTTCCCAAGACATTAAAATATTCACTAGCCCACATGCACTCACATTAAAAAAATGACCACTACTTGTGGCTTTGCTAATCACTTGCTTAGGGCGATATTAGCTTAAACTAATCCTTATTAAGTGTCCACCGCTTAACTGGTTTCACTCAGGCCAACCTCCCCCTCCAATACTGGGGAGCCCCTCTTTGGAAGGGTAACCAGAACCGAGACCTTTATAATGACCTTCTCTATAAAATATCTTCTCGCATTAGCTCATGGAACCACCACATCCTCTCTATTGGTGGTCGACTAGAGCTAATTAAATCCACCCTCATCTCCATCCCCTTCTATTGCCTTCAGGTTCTTAACCCCCCCAGAACGTCATCCTTTCTATTGAGAGGTGTTTCAATCGCTTCCTCTGGGGCTCCAACGATGATCGTAGAAAACTTCACTGGGCAGCTTGGCATCTCCTTTGCTTTCCCACGGAAGAAGGAGGTTTTGGTTGTCGTAACCTCCAGGATCTCGTCCGCACCACTGAGGTCAAACTTTGGTGGCGGCTTCGCTCTACCTCTAACATTTGGACCAACCTCATTCGGTCCAAATATTGCCCCAGACTCCACCCCATGGTGGTTAAACCTAACCCTGCAGACCCTCCCACCTGGAAGCGGCTCTGTAGCATCCGTACTACGGTCGACCCGTGGATTCACTGGCTCACCGGGATGGCAATATTTCTTTTTGGCATGATCAATGGTGCCAATATAGTCCCCTATCCTCTCTAGCCACCCATACCCGCTCTAATCTCCTTGTCCGTGAGGTATGGAATTGAACTGGGTGGAACATCCCTCTCCTTCAGACCCTTCTCCCTTCCCACGTGATTGGCTCTATTATCGTCTTTCCCACCCACCGCCCCTCCTCCCCTCCCATTTGGAAACTCTCATCTAATGGCTCTTTCTCCTTTAAAAGCGCCTGGCAAGCCATCCGTACCACTCGTTCTCCTAACCCTATCTTCCGGCACATTTGGAGTTCCCTTTTTACCCCTACCATCTCTACCTTCATGGTCCGCCTCCTTTTCTTTTGGATCTCCACCACAGATGGCCTATCCCGGAGGGGAATCAATGCTTCCATTCCTTGCTTCTGTTGTGAGAATATGGAATCCATCCCTCACCTTTTCCTCATCGGCCCAGTTCCCTCAGCAGTATGGGCCAATTTCTACTCTCTCGCTGTTATCCCACAAATATCCTCCGACAGCATTCAAACCACTCTCTCCCACTGGTTCAACTTTGGGACTGGCAAGTCCCATCTATTCCACCTCATTCCCATTCTTATCCTTTGGTACCTCTGGTGTTCCCGCAATGACAAAAGAGTTAAACAAATCCCCTTCACTGCTCAACGCGTCTGCGATCGAGTTTGGAAACATCTTCAACTCATCGCCAATTCTTCCCTCCTTGAGGAGTCCTCCTGTTCTCGAGCCCCTCTTTTGAGCCACCTTCTCTCCCCTTCTTTTCGGCCCCATCGTCGCCAGAATCGCCCTCGTATGCAGATTATCAGATGGACCACCCCCCCTGTCGGCACGTTGAAGATCAATACAGACGGAGCCTCGAAGGGTAACCCCAGAGAGGCTGGAGCAGGTGGCCTTGCCAGAGATCATAGAGGCAGACCTATTTTTGCATTTCACGACTACATCAGAGTTCAGACCAGCACCATTGCAGAGCTCCATGCTGTTTAGAGAGCATTATTACTATGCCGGGACTTGACTTATGACCAGGTTTGGATTGAGCTTGACTCTTAGGTTGTTATATCACTCCTTACGACGAGCCCCGGCGGCGGCTGGCGGAAAGAGACCTCATTCAGAAGATCAGAGCTCTATCAGATACTCTTGACGTCAGCTTCACCCACATTTACCGTGAGGGTAATAGTGCCGTCGACTACCTCGCAGGTTCCGCCTGCCGAGCCCGAGACTTTGTGTTATATGACGTCGCAGACTTACCTGGACCCCTTAGGGTCATCATCAGGATGGATTTAGAGTATCCCAGCATCAGACGTCCCCATGACGACATCAGACCACAGGGCTGAAGCCCAAAATTTTAGCCAGCGAGAGATTCCATCTCCCTCCTTAGCTGGCCTGGCTTCACCTTCACCCTCGGTTTCTTCTCCTTCTTTTCCTCTTGTTAGGGCCCTTTTTGTTGGAGGTCCCAGTTTTTCTCTTGAGTCGACTAGGCTTTGTAGGGGATTTGCCACCCCATTACTAACAAAAGTGATTTGGGCTTTGTAGGGGATTTGCCCCCCCGAACATAGGCTTTGTAGGGGATTTGCCACTCCATCTCCTTTTCATTTGATTAAAAAAAAAAGTATGAACTAAAAAAAAAGTGTATAATACACGCATGAATGGGTCTTGGGTCAAAGTGGGCCGAAACTTTGCCATTTGGGCCCAAGAAGATAGGCTGTCGCGCTGCCAGCGCTGGTCATGAGGATGTGGTCATCGACCCATCCGAGCCCGAGGACGAGTCGCGCGAAAGCCATGAGAAGAAGCGCGCGAAGGCCCGGGATGAGTACCGAGACCGAGCCAAGAGAACCCGGAGAGGCTACACGATGGGACATGCGCACACAGTTGCGTATTGGGCCGATGATAAGAGCGAGAAGATTGAGCCCGGGAAAGTGGGCGAGTGGTGCAAGGCATGCGCGAGAGATCGTCGCAAGCAACGCGCGATGGCTAAGGCAAATGGTGCACGAGGGGAGGATGTAGGGTGGGTAGCGTGCACATGGGACGGTGGCAATGAAGTAGATGCGTGAGCGGGAACAAGCGCGAAATGGCGGGAAGATGAGTGGGAATCGTCGCGAGGAACGATAGAGGAAGAAGTCAACGAGGCGAGCGAGCGAGAGGAGGTTGGCGTGCGGGGCACTCTCCGGCTGAGGGACGCACGAAGGAATGGGCGCGCGCGTAGCACGAGGAGGCTCACGCGAGGCGCGGACGGTAACGTGCGAGGCACGTGGGAGTTGGATGGCGCGAGTCCTCGAGGGACTAAGCGTAGCGCACCGACTGAAGGGAATCCGCGCGACTTGAGGCGCAAGGCAGGAGACGCGTGCGACGCGTGAGGCGCGGGAGAAGGCCAAGACCTCGGAGGACAAGGATTAGCCGCGACGGCTAGGGTTCGGGTGAAGTACCATGCAAGCAAGAACCCGAGATCCTTCTAGAAGGCCTAGGGCCGATTTCCCGTAGTAGCTTAGGGATCATAGTTTAGCTAGGATATGGAATAAAAGGCATGTGCCTAAGTAGTTTAGGTAAGTCTATATTTACTAGGTATTTACTTTCCTTAGGACTTTATTTGTTTACTTGCATTAGGAGTTCTTCTTAGACTAGGATTAGATCTAATTGGTATTTATAAATACCGCCCATATGTCATTCGAAATTTAGGATGGAAAAGTAATAGAAAATCGTTCGTGAGAACAAAACCGTGTGTTTAGAATTCGTGAGAGTTTTATCATACAAATCGAGTTGGCAAGGCTAAGACCCGAACCATCTCAAAATCGTGAGAAGATAAGGCTAATAACCGAGTCGTCCACATCTATCACCGAGAAGGTGCCGTGGCAAATCATCGTACGAGGCAAACAAGTTGGGAAAACACACGATCCTTCATTATTGGTGCTTTCATTGAGAGGTGTTGATCGTGTGTTTTGTTTAACTTTTCCTATCTTCTTCTTTTTCGAATTTTTCATCTTCTTTTCGTGAGTTTGGTTCGTGAGTATAAAAAAAAAAAAGATTATAAATAGTGATCAAAAAAAAAAAAAGAGTGAAGCCATGACAAACTGAGAGAGATTCGAGATGTTGGAGGAAAGCATGAGATCCCTTGGTGATGGCCAACATGCGGCCAACGACAATTTTGCGAAGTTGGAGCTCATGGTGCACGACCTTACTGCACAACTTGCCCGAGCCACACGATGACCGCGAGGGAGTCATAGGTCGTGTTCGACCACGGCTCGATCGAGTAGCTCCGAGTCCGACCGCAATGACCACGACCGTCGATCGAGAAGAACGCGAGCTTCAAGTCGACGCGAGAAAAGGAAGGTCGAGAAGCCGAGGCTTACTATGCCTACGTTTACGAGAACCGACCCGGACGCGTGGTTAAGTTGAGCCACGCAATATTTCGAGATCAATGACGTGCCTCGAGAAGGAGATCATTACGCGCTTTGGATCGAGCCAATACCATGACTACGACGAGGCACTCACTCGTATACGTCAAGGTGGTAGTCTTCGTGATTACCAAAAAGAGTTCGAGCGCATTGCTAGTCGGGTGCGCGATTGGCCTGAGAGTGCATTGGTTGGAGCGTTTATGGGCGGGCTCAAACCCGAGCTGGCCGCCGAGGTACGATTGGACCGACCGAGGTCGATGCGAGCTGCCATGGAGTCGGCACGAATGAACGAGGACCATCTGCTTGCGGTCCGCAAGACGAGCCGCGGAGACGGACGCGTCGAGACACGGCGCACGAGCACGGTTCCGAATCCACCGCCGCTGGCCGAGGACGCAAAGGTGACCGAGGCAACACGACCGCCGAGTTACATGCGACGCCTTGGTAATGATGAGATACAGATACGGCGCGAGAAGGGTCTATGCTTCTCGTGCAATGAGCCGTTCATGCCCGGGCAAAGGTAAACAGGTTTACCTACTCGATACATGCAAGCTCGAGGAAGAACGTGAGGAAGGAGGACACTTGTATTTGAATCCACAATTGGAGATGCTGCACATGGTCAAAGCTGAAAAAGGACCTAAGATGATGAGGTTCGAGGCTGAATTTATGGGCCAAAAAGTCGATGTGTTGGTCGACAGTGGGTCGACACTCAATTTTATTAGCTTGGACTTCACCACAAGGCTTGAGATCCTAATGACCGGGGTTGTACCATTTGGAGTACGAGTTGCAAACGGCGAAGAACTTTAGAGTTCGGAGCTATACAAGGACGTTCCCATACAAGTGCAAGGAGAAGAGCTGAAAGTGGGCTTGTTTGCACTAGAGCTTGGAGGACCCGAGGTGGTGTTAGGAATCGAATGGTTGGAGACGCTAGGGCCCATAGTTACCAATTTCAAAAAGGGCACGATGGAGTTCGAGAGGGCCAAAAAGAGGATTAAGCTATGTATTGGCGATGAAGGAACCGAGCCGGTCGAATTGAAGAGTCTTCAATTCATTCTCCTTGAGGACAAGGTCAAACTCAAAGGGGGATGGAATGATGAGGATGTGGTCATCGACCCATCCGAGCCCGAGGACGAGTCGCGCGAAAGCCGTGAGAAGAAGCGCGCGAAGTCCCGGGATGAGTACCGAGACCTAGCCATGAGAACCCGGAGAGGCTACGCGATGGGAGATGCGCACACAGTCGCGTATTGGGCCAATGATGAGAGCGAGAAGATTGAGCCCGGGAAAGTGGACGAGTGGTGCAAGTAATGCACGAGAGATCATCGCAAGCAACGCGCGATGGCCAAGGCAAAGGGTGCACGAGGGGAGGATGTAGGGTGGTTGGCGTGCACATGGGACGGTGGCGATGAAGTAGATGCGCGAGCGGGAACAAACGCGAAATGGCGTGGGGATGAGTAGGAATCGACGCGAGGAACGATAGAGAAAGAAATCGACGAGGTCGACGAGGCGAGCGAGCGCAGCTCACACGCGGGTCGCAGAGACGCGCTCGGGGTGATGAGCGAGCGAGAGGAGGTTGGCGTGCGGGGCACTCGCTTGCTGAGGGACGCGCGAAGGAATGGGCGCGCGCGTAGCGCGAGGAGGCTAAAGCGAGGCGCGGACGGTAACGCGCGAGGCACGTGGGAGTTGGATGGCGCGAGTCCTCGAGGGATTAGTCGTAGCACACCGACTGAAGGGAATCCGCGCGACTTGAGGCGCAAGGCAGGAGACGCGTGCGATGCGTGGGGCGCGGGAGAAGGCCAAGACCTCAGAGGACAAGGATTAGTCGCGACGACTAGGGTTCGGGTGAAGTACCGCGCAAGCAAGAACCCGAGATCCTTCTAGAAGGCCTAGGGCCGATTTCCCTTAGTAGCTTAGGGATCATAGTTTGGTTAGGATATGGAATAAAAGGCATGTGCCTAAGTAGTTTAGGTAAGTCTATATTTACTAGGTATTTACTTTCCTTAGGACTTTATTTGTTTACTTGCATTAGGAGTTCTTCTTAGACTAGGGTTAGATCTAATTGGTATCTATAAATACCGCCCATATGTCATTCCAAATTTAGGATGGAAAAGTAATAGAAAATCGTTCGTGAGAACAAAACCGTGTGTTTAGAATTCGTGAGAGTTTTATCATACAAAATCAAGTTGGCAAGGCTAAGACCCGAACCATCTCAAAATCGTGAGAAGATAAGGCTAATAACCGAGTCGTCCACACCTATCGCCAAGAAGGTGCCGTGGCAAAGCATCGGACGAGGCAAATGAGTTGGGAAAACACACGATCCTTCATCATTGGTGCTTTCATTGACGTGCCTCGAGAAGGAGATCATTTCGCGCTTTGGATCGAGCCAATACCATGACTACAACGAGGCACTCACTCGTATACGTCAAGGTGGTAGTCTTCGTGATTACCAAAAAGAGTTCGAGCGCATTGCTAGTCGGGTGCGCGATTGGCCCGAGAGTGCATTGGTTAGAGCGTCTATGGGCGGGCTCAAACCCGAGCTGGCCGCCGAGGTACGATTGGACCGATCGAGGTCGATGCGAGCTGCCATGGAGTCGGCACGAATGCGCGAGGACCATCTGGTTGCGGTCCGCAAGACGAGCCGCGGAGACGGACGCATCGAGACATTGCGCGCGAGCACGGTTCCGGAACCACCGCCGCTGGCCGAGGACGCAAAGGTGACCGAGGCAACACGACCGCCGAGTTACATGCGACGCCTTGGTAATGATGAGATACAGAGACGGCGTGAGAAGGGTCTATGCTTCTCGTGCAATGAGCCGTTCATGCCCGGGCACCGGTGCAAAGGTAAAGAGGTTTACCTACTCGATACATGCAAGCCCGAGGAAGAACGTGAGGAAGGAGGACACTTGAATCGCAATTGGAGATGCTGCACATGGTCAAAGCCAAAAAAGGAC